GAAGAGGGAAGTGAGCAGGGTGGGCTCTGAGACACACTCACACAGATGCTGCCTCACAGAGCTGGATCGTGTCCTTACCCACCTGCTCTGGCATCCAGAAAGGCTGGAGAAGCAGAAAGGCTGCAAGAAATTTGCCTCCTGGGGCTACACCTGGCTGTTCTTGCTGGGTTTGTCCCTTGTACCCGTAAACATATATACTGTGCGGGAGTTGGCCGAGGAAACTCCAGCCCCGCTCCAGAGCAACTCCATGCCAGTGTCTTCTGCATCCATCTCCCACCTGCTTCTAGGAGTTGTCAAATCCTCTCCAAGAGGAGCAGAAGGAAAAGACAAATCTTACCTTCATTTGGGCTTGGGACTTTCCCACATGAACAGCTCACATTGCACATTGCCATTACATTTAGGTCCCTCAAAGATGTTCCTTGGACCTACATTTACCAGCTCATAGGCAATTTCCCATCTTTACTTTTATCCCTTCATAAACATCTTCCATCTAAAGAGCTCACAAAGCTGGAGTCCTTCCTTGCCCTTCCATGTTTTCATGACTCATTTTTCCCTTTCCTCCAGACTTTTCTCTCCACTATTTCTCCTCTTTCCATTCAGCCATTCCAGTGGCCTCACCCCAAATGACAAAATGGTGTTATTTTACATTTTGTTTATTCCCACCTAAGCGGAAGTGTTTCTCCTTCCTCTCTACTCTCTTAACTCATGAAATCAAAATCGTTACTAATCAGGCTGGCATAAACGCAAAATATCTTGCCATGTTTCCTGTGCCTAGGCTTCCTATCTGACTAATGTGGAAATTCTCTGATGCTGCATAAAAGAATTTGTGCACTACAGGGAATTTTTAGTGGAAAATAAAACCCTCTGACATCACTGGCTAACTACAATTTGCTACGCTAACATACAACACCGTGGCTATATTGCAGGGGAGGATAAAAGTGTGCATGTATTTTCCTGTATGTTTCAATATCCTCCTATTGACAGAAGATAGGATGACTGGGCTACAACTGGAGACCAGGAAATGATTTTTGTGATTTCATTAGTGTAATTGACAAAAGCATTGTCTTTCTACATAAGGTTAACAGATGGCTTGTTAAAGTTACAACTTCTTTAAACAGAGCTGTCACCAAAAACGATGTGCATGACAACAAAAACAATATTTATACAGGCTTATTGCAAAATGAAAACGGAGTTTGCATAACTGAAAGCATAGAATAAGTAACTGCCACCATTGCAACACAGATTATCAAGGTGCTTTTTCTTTTCTAAGATTTCCTTGAAAACTGGATGAAGGGACATAAATTGGTGAAGTATTAAAAACATGGGAGTTCAGTTATTATAGGCACAAACATGCAGTTGGTCACCATGCCTACTCCACATGTATGAAGAAACTACCACGGATGTACAAGTGTGTTACATCAAGGCCTGGATTTTAATCCCGGTAGTAATATAATACATTAATTACACAGCATCTTTAATTTTGGGTAAATATGTTTTCATGTAAAAATGCTAAAGTCTGATTCAAGATTGTAGATTCATACTCATACTGCTATTATAGATTGAGCAGGATTTTGTTCTCCTTGAGAAAAAACAGGCAGGCAGGCATCAAGCAAGCCCCTTCCCCTCAATATCTAAGTAGTTATCTAAACCAGGAGCACGCTGCCGTCTGCTGTGCTCATCTCAGACCAACGTGCACCACAAGCATCAGCCCTGTAGGACTGTGCTTTCACATCTCACCTCTGGCAGGTTCAAGACCTGCACAAGGGAAGGGCATACAACACCTGGAACTGCCTCACCTCCGTTATGAACCAGCTCCCTGATGCACTGGCCAGCCAGCAAAAACAGGGGGGTGAATAATAACTACGAAAAATCTAAGATAAAAAAATTAGGCAATACTAGTTTGCCCACCTGCTGCGGTTTTTAAGACCTCACCTTCACCTTCAATTTGTCTCATTTGCATGAGAGCAGGAAAAAATACAAAGAAGATTCAGCCTTTAAAATAGAAAACATAACCAACATCATACCTTTTTGACAGGTGACAGCACACAAGCTGTTCCACCTGGAGAAACCTAGAATGCTAGCATTATTACTGATATTTAGTACTTTTTGCTTTCAGCATCACATTTACTCACTATTTATTGCCTCTGCCAAAATTTTCTCTTCCCCCCTTCTTTTTTTTTTCTGCAGTATCCCTTCTTCCTCTCTTCCTCTAGTATTACTGTCTTACTTCACAGCACCCTCTTTACCTTTTCAAGCAATTGCATTAGGCTTTGTATAAAATTCAGCTCTCAGACTTTCTTGAGATGCCATTAAGACCTGCAGCTAACTCCCAAAGACCTCAACAGGAAGAAAGAAAGAGAACAGAACCCCAGTGGGTTTTCCCTGCATTTGTTATTTTCTTCACAATAATGACGCAGAAGCAAACCTTCTCTCTAACCAATCTTAGATGTCAGCTCCTTGCACTACAAAACCATTTTTTTGGAGAAAAGGTAAAAAATTGAGAATAAGGGAGAAAATAAGAGCAGTATTTCCCATTGCAAAACCTCTGTTGACAGCTACTGGAAATAACCTGGTTTATTTTACCAACCTTGTGATGTCAGGTTCACTTAGCACACGCCTTGTTGGCTCCGACTGAGGGGCACGCTAACTGCATGACTGACGCACATGGCTGTGACTGGGGAGGAAACGCACAGCTGCTCGCTGCTCTGGCTTGCCTTCACATGAAGGATTTTTGAGAAATTGTGTAATATTACAGCAGACTGGTCCTTGCCCCAGGTGTAGCTAGTTCTTCCTTTCTCATTGAGTCTGGCAGAGCACATTAATTTCATCACCATCTATAACAAAAAAAATAAGTAAACAGCAAGCATTAAAAAGGAAAATATGGATAATTTAATTTTGGGGGAAAAGAAAAGAATATACACTAAGGAACAGCTGTGACCAAGGGATTCTTCTCTAGAAACAAAAGCAAATTCTCAAGTGAAAAAGATAAGAGAGATGCTGCTGCTTTTGTAACTCTTAGTAACAGCCAAAATAATCCAAGGTGAGTGGGAAAGAGCATGGAATTTCAAAACAAACAAAACCACAGTAACATATCCATACCACTTTATACCAGTATCATAAACTATGAAGATGGTTGAATTACAAATAAAGATTGTCATCATTATTTTTTTTTTTGCATTCAGCTTTGTTACAGCCAAAGGTATTTATAATCGATACTAACAAAACAAATCTACAAAGGAATCACCATAGCAGTTATAAGAAAATATGAACAAAACATGTAATGACAGAAAATTAAGAGAGCAGAGTGACTTGAGTATGGAGAAGCATAGAAAAAACCCACAAGCTTCCCAGCATATCCAGCATAAACCACTTCATGGTTTAGTCTACCAGAAAAAACAGGTTTGTGATATGAAGAGTTGGCAAGAATCTGGATACGAAGAGCAGCAACACTCTCCTCACACCATCAAGGGGGCAGGTGAAGCATTCTATTATCATTGATTTTTCTCCACGTAACAGATTTCTTTGGTTTTATGTTTCTTTGCTCCACCAGGAAAACACTACTCTGTGCGACAAAGATACCAAATGCACGTAAAATGTGAGTCAAAAGAATGTTACAATCCTGCCTTTGAAAGAAATTATTATATGGATCTGTTAAGCCTAATTTAAGGCCTTCCTGTCTGATTTCTACCTCAATTTTCTAGGTGCCCCAGTTCACACCCAGCTCTGTCAGTAGGATCGCATTCCTGCTACTGCAGTTCAATGCTTCACATGCCTGCTTTTGTCCAGAGCTCTGCACAAGGCAGCGGCAAGTACTTCTCTTTTTCCCCCCAAAGGAAGATGTTATGGCCGTAACCAGATCTTTGGTCCAGAAGAAAGCTGCTTGCCTGCTTGTGCAGATAGATATCCACTCTGAATCAACCAGCCCAGAGAGATCTGGCTTCCCGCTCAGTGTCAAAGCATGGCTGGGAGAGGGAACCAAAAAAAACGCACAAACCACCCCCCCCGCAAAAACCCTTCCAAACCCCCAACCCCTCTCCAACTCCATCCTGCCCCTCCCCGCCCCAAAAAAACCCACCCAAACAAACCCCAGCACCACCAAACCAATCAGACAGGGGATGTTCCCGAAGCACAGGCTAAGGGAGATCCCTGCTGGCAGGACAATGAAATACACCATTTCCAAACACCATTCACCTGCTACCACAAAGTTTCTTCTGCATCCGAACACCAAAAACATCGCACATTCACCTTGCTTTCCATTTGGCACAGCCTTTTGCTCCCAAAGACAGCACTACCCCACCCACACAGCACACACTGCACAAGAGCAGTGGGACAAAGGGGGAATTCAGTCTCCATTTCATCATGTTTATCAAGGCTAAAAATTCCCAGCGACTTGAATTAGCATTCTGCTGAAGCAAGGCTGATGGACCCATTTCTACAGCTCCTATTGCAGAAGAGCAGGAGAATGAGATCCAGTTGGTGTCCCACTTATTGACATCAGCTATTTTTGCTGATGGGCATTAGATATCACCCCACTTAAGCAATAATTATATCAGGGAAATTATAATCTCACATACTCATTGTAATCAGTGATACCACATTTGACAATTAATCAACCAATACTGGATATTTGTGTATTGAAAAGAAGGAGGAACAAAATAGAACAACAGACCTCATCTCAGCTTTTTTGTATGTTACATTAAACAACTACTGCAAAACTTCAACAACTACAAATTTTGAGACACAAACCAGAAATAATTCTTAACTATGGTGGACTACCATAAAGATACTCATGATTCACCTGGGGATAAACTAAGCTCAGAAAAATGTAACAGCCAGATGAGAGACACATTAACTTCCAGACCATAAAAATGACTAGGCAAAGAAAGCAAGAGAGAATTCAAATGAATATCCAATGAAGAACAACGTATTTTACAGGACACTGACATTATAAAGAGGTTCGATTTTCCTCTTACAAGTGACATACTTGAGAGCAATAGACATTTCCAGTGGCTCAGAAAACAAATTTAATTGACACTCAGAATGAAGGAAAGCATACAGGTTTGTTGGGTTTTTTTTAAAGAAAATTTATTACAAATCTGTAGGTTTACGAAAATATCCAAAAAACTGTCAAAGTAGTATGAAAAATGCTGTCATCCTATTCACAGTTACCAGTTTTCTCCAATAAACATAGCATACAAAAATTGATAGAAACCATGGCAATTCTTTTTGGTGACACAAGTCAGATATTTGTACCGACACCTAAGATGCTGCTGGCAGCCCAACAGAGCCATTAAATTGCACTATTTTTGAAAACTGGAAGTTTGGATGAAAAGGCTATATACATATACACATACTGTATTTTACCACATGTACAGGTAACTCAGGGCAAACAAAACATGGCCCAGCACAATACTTAAAGTCTATAAAATCCCAGAGAGGCAGGGAATGCATGTATGTGGTATTAAGTTATTCTCTATGCTCTGGTTCCCATTTTTCTTTTACATCTCAATTAAAGACCAATTGTTTTCCACTCTCATTTACAGAAAGGATGAAGCTGATGTACTGCTATACCATCTTTTCAGACACAGAAAACGTTAACTGCACTGCATGCAGGCAAGTGATCTAAAAATGTAATGCAGTTAAAACATAATATAAAAGAGGGATCTTTAGAAGACTGTGGACTGAATTTACTACAAGTGACCTAAGACCTTAAGCTCCCCTGAAAAACTGAGGCTAACATGGCATTTCTAATGTCATTCACAGATAAATCCTAAGACACGTGAATGAGGAAAGAACTGTCTTGATATGTTACATTCCTAAACTGAAGTACAGACTACTTTAAAAAAGCAGAAAGTTTCAAGTATGTCATGGATTAAATCCAAACCTGCCCTACAACTCTACCTCTGGGTAACTGGCTGCAATGGTTGGAAGCTGCAGCACAGACCATTGGTAACCATATTCTCAAATCCTTTAAACTGCACAGGACCGAGATGCCACAACTCGGAGCTGCAGTGTAGAACAGGCCTCAATGGAAGAAGCGTAAAGATTCTGAAGCAGCAAGATGCAATACGTGCTCAAGGTACTGGTATGATCTAAAAGGAAAAAAAAAGAAAAAGAAAGAAGAAAAAGAAAGAACACCCAAACAATTCAGTATCATTTAACTCTGTTTTTATCAGATGCTTGAAGCTCCTTAGGCAGAGGACATCTGTGATTTCCTACCGATCAATCCTCCTTTTGCAAACAGCAACGTGGAAGAAACCAGCACCCCTTAAAAAACTACTCAGTGCATTTCATTCATTTTCCTGTTTCAACTTCAGTTGAAAAGCAGAGAATCAACAGTTATTCAAAGAACAGAAGAGCAAATAGAAACCAAGTGTCTCTTATCACCAGAGCAAACAGGATGGAAGATGCAGGACTGAATTTACACTCATTTCCTTCCCCGTGCAGACCAGATTAACCAGGGCTACCTGGAACATTTCTTAAAAGCCATGTGTTGGTAACAAGATTGCCTCATTCTGCATTTACTGAAAACTTAATTTCTGAAACAGTGTAATGAAACAGTCAAAAATCTTCATTCCAAAGAAGGAAAATATTGCATGTACATTCTTAGGCTTGAACCTTCAGGTTTGGAAAACGTTTTTCTAGATTGTCAGCAAGTGTCTGATCAGCCTCACGCAGAACTTCAAGGAAACTTTCCACCTGGAAATAAATTGCAAACACACACACAAAAATAAAAATAAAATAAGATCAAAAAACCAAACTTGCATGGAACACAGAATTCTTGTATTTCATATAGGGGGTCTTTCTACTCCTTTACCTTCCCACCAACAGCAGCCACTGCAAATAATAATGGAAAATGCTCCACAGTACATACCTTCCTCTTAAACCCTGCGCTTTCAGTTGGTCTAACTTTTGAAACATTCTTGCCTTCCCCAAACTCTTATTTTGTTGTTTAAAAGGACATTAAGAAAAGCTTCCTATGAAAAATATTTAGAATAATTCTTCTATAAAAATGTACAGGACAAGTTTTCAGTTAGCATAACATTGTAGGCATCCATTCATTTCAGCACAGTTTGACCCTTAAATCAGGCGATGATCTAGGCAAAGCTCTGGCTGAAGTAAGCCAGATGAGACAGAGAGGGTAAGACTGTCCAGAATGGAGTGTTCCCTGTGTCTGAGCAACTCACAACCTGTACGCTCTGAAAGGCCTTGCTACCTGAGGAGTATTTTTTCAGTTATGTTAAGGATCTTGTCATATACTCACTGATGCGAAATACAGAGGTAAGAGGTTCTGAAATGCACAGGAACATGTCTGTTCATTTAAGTGTCCCTGGTGTAGTCCTTCTAATGTATTTTCCTGGAAAATAAAATGAGAAATATAACTAGCATGTCATGAACAGTTGCGAGAAGAACAAACTCAAAATTGTGCACACAGTGTCTACAGTATGTGCTTCATTCTCAAAAATGGGTAAAACAACCAGAACTTAGAGCGCTCAGAGGATGCCAGACACAACTAATACAAAACAGTGTGAAAGCTCACACACCAGAAGTCCCTTAATGAGAATGCTCCCATAATAAGGAAGTCTGGCTGAGAAGACGAGTTTACATATTGATACTCTTCCCTTTTCTTAAATAAATTGGCTTTAATTTAAAAGAAATGGTGACAAACACCTTTATTTTATATTTATAATATATAAATTTATGTATTTATATATTTTCATATAAATATTCATATATTTATGTATAAAGTATCATACAGAATCTTAGCCCTGAAGCCAAGCTACAGCTCGGAAAACCTGTGTCCCTGCCCTCTAACACACAAGTTGCTACTTGCCTTCTGATTAAACCTCTAATAAATTTTCAGTATGCAACTTCACTTGCCCAGAAAACCACCAACAGTAACAGTAAGGTCTTTTTTCTGACCTACCCCACAGAAATCCTTCTTAGAATTTTGCTCATTCTTACCTTGGTCAGTTCTTGAAGCATATTGGAAAGCAATTCACAGCAAATATCCTTCAAAATTTTTAAGTGGAAATCTTCCTCATTTAGATCAGCCCTTCCAGTCTCTTGTTGCTCAGAGTCCTTTGAGTTATCTACAGTTCTCTTCCCACAGCCCTCCATGTATTGTAAGATACGAATCAAGCTCCCAATCAGAGGCATATCTAATACAAAGAAAAAAGAAATGGTAGTTTAACACTAAAAATTTTTCCCCATGCTTTCAAGGCATTAGAATTTCAAAACATACCACAAGATTTTATACAAAAGCTACAGGAATGTATATTCTGACAGTGTTGTGTTTTATAAAAGACTGTTTTAAAGAAGCAAGTGGAAATGTAGTAGAAAACCCAAGCCACGCAAGCTGATCTGTATTTACAAAAAGTATAAGCCAGTGGTAAGGAATAAGAGAAGGAAAAGGTCTCTAGCAGTAACTCAGAGAGGCTAGCACGTGACATTTGCATCCATATAATTCTATTTGATAAACCAAACAACACGTCTTTCTGCTGCAGGTGACCCTGACTCACATTCCCAAGAAAAGGCTTTTAATTCTAAAGACTTGTCAATGAATCGAAAAGTAACAAGTGATAAAGATGGGTTTAAGTAAGTGCAGAATCGCCCTCTACTAAAAAAAAAAAATTACTACCAAGACATCATATTATAGCAAACATGAATTCTGCAATTTTCATTAATTTACCTAATGGGAAAAACTGAACAGAATCTGCAAATTCTATTTCTGTAATTCTCAGAGATAGCCAGTAACCAAACTTTGAGCTAGCGGTAATTTTTAGAGTCACCTGTAAAGAGCCTTACTGTACTCAAACACGTAACTGAATTCTTTATTCTGATCTCTAGTAAACAGTAATAAATTAGCCACCTTCCATCCCACATAAAGTCAACTGTGAAAATAATTTAAAAAAAAAAAAAAAAA